CTTGACGAGGGCAGCAGCGGCTGTTGGTCGAGGACGACAGCGACGCTTGGTCGAGGACGACGGTGGCGAAGGACGGCGGGGCTTGACAAGGGCGGCGGCGGCTGTTGGTCGAGGATGGCGGCGGCTTACGAGGGCGGCTGCAGAGTGCTCGGTCAGAAGAGAACGAAAGAGGAGAAGAAAAGTGAAGGAACGCGCCTGCACGCGAGCTACGCTCGATCTCTGTGTTTCCCTCAGCCTGGCTGAGAGGCCCCTTTTGCATCCACTAGGCCAGGCTGAAAAGCCCATGCAGGGTACCAAACAACGAAAATTTGCACGGTGGATGCCAACCACATGCAGCGCAGGGAACCAAACATGCCCCTAGTTTCTTAGGTATTCCACCCTTAAAAGTATAATTAACAAGCATGGTGGAAATTTCAGCTTCCGGTATCTTTTTTTATTAGTAACAATATCTTTCATGTATTTAGTATAAGGATTCATTTTAAGCATATCAGTCAAACGCATATGTAAAAAGATAGGTCAATCTTATCATAACATGAGTACTCAAAATCCTCATCATCTTTGGTGCAATCATTTTAGGAAAGCACTCAAAATCCTCTTATCATAACATTGCCTTTGGTGCAATCATTTCAGCAAAGCGCTCAAAATCCTCATCATCCTTTTTTGGATGGTTTAGGAGGAAAAGGCATGGGTTTCTGAACCCATGGTTCTCTTTCTTTACCGTGCTTCCTAGCAACAAAGTCTCTCTTAGCATAACATTGATTCTTTCATTGTGGGTTATCAAGATCAATAGTAGGTTCAATCTCTACATCATTATCATTACTAGGTTGAGCATCAACATGAACATCATCATTAACATTATCACTAGGTTCATGTTCATTACCAGATTGTGTTTCAGCATTAGAAATAGAGATATCATTAGGATTCTCAGGTGTGTCAATAACAGGTTCACTAGAAGCATGGAAAGTCCTATCAGCTTTCTTTTTCTTCCTTTTAGAAGGACTAGGTGCATCAATAATATTTCTCTGAGAATCTTGCTCAATTCTCTTAGGATGGCCCTCAGGATACAAAGGTTCCTGAGTCATTTTACCACCTCTAGTCATAACTCTAACAGCATTATCATTTTTCTTACTATTCAATTCACTGAGCAAATCATTTTGAGCTTTAAGTACTTGTTCTACTTGAGTGGTAACCATAGAAGCATGTTTACTAATAAGTTTAAGTTCACCTTTAACATTAGCCATATAATCACCCAAGTGTTCAAGCATATCAGCATTGCATTTTCATTCTCTACCAAAATAAGCATTGAAGTTTTCTTGTTTAACCATAAAGTCATTAAACTCATCCAAGCATGGGCTAGCAAACTTAGTAAATGGGATTTCAGCTTTATCACATCTATAGAGAGAATTTACCTTTACTACCCGTGTTGGGTTATCAAGACCATGTATTTCTTCAACAGACGGCAAATTAAGACCATGTATTTCTTCAATAGGAGGTAAATTCTTAACATCTTTAGCTTTAATACCTTTTTCCTTCATAGATTTCTTTGCCTCTTGCATATCTTCAGGACCGAGAAATAGAATACCCATCTTCTTCGGAGTTGGCTTAGGAGTTGGTTTAGGAATTGGATCAAGAAGTGTCCAATTATTTTCATTAGTCAAGATATTATTCAATAGAATTTCAGCTTCATCTAGTGTTCTTTCCCTGAAAACACAACCAGCACAACTATCCAGGTGGTCTTTGAAAGCATCGGTTAGTCCATTATAAAAGATATCAAGTATTCATTTTTCTTAAGAGGATGATTAGGCAAAGCATTAAGTAATTGGAGAAGCCTCCCCCAAGCTTGTGGGAGACTCTCTTCTTCAATTTGCACAAAACCTTAAAGCAGCTTGTTTCTTATGAGCGGGGAAATATTTAGCAGAGAAGTAAGAAATCATATCCTGGGGACTACGCACACAACCAGGATCAAGAGAATTAAACAATATCTTAGCATCACCCTTTAATGAGAACGGAAATATCTTAAGGATATAATAATAGCGAGTTTTCTCATCGTTAGTGAACAGGGTGGCTATATCATTTAATTAAGTAAGATGTGCCACAACAGTTTCAGATTCATAGCCATAGAAAGGATCAGATTCAACTAAAATAATTATCTCAGGATCAACAGAGAAATCATAATCTTTATCAGTAACAAAGATAGGTGAAGTAGCATAAGCAGGATCATATTTCATTCTAGCATTCAAAGTTTTTTGTTTCAGCTTAGCTAATAATTTCTTAATATCACTCCTATCATTGCAAGCAAGAAAATCTCTAGCAGCTTCTTCATCCATAACATAGCCCTCAGGCACAACAGGTAATTCATATCTAGGGGGAGAGTCTTCATCATCACTTTCATCAATATTATCAGTTTTAATAATTTCATTCTCTCTAGCCCTAGCAAGTTGTTTATCAAGAAATTCACCAAGTGGCACAGTAGTATCAAGCATAGAAGTAGTTTCATCATAAGTATCATGCATAGCAGAAGTGGCATCATCAATAACATGCGATATATCAGAATTAATAGCAGAAGAAGGTATAGGTGTCGCAAGCTTACTCAAAACAGAAGGTGAATCAAGTGCAGAGCTAGATGGCAGTTCCTTACCTCCCATCGTAGTTGAGGGATAAATTTTTGTTTTAGCGTCTTTCAAGTTCTTCATAATGATAAGCAGATATAAATCCCAAGTGACTCAAAGAATAGAGCTATGCTCCCCGGCAACGGCGCTAGAAAATAGTCTTGATAACCCACAAGTATAGGGGATCGCAATAGTTTTCGAGGGTAGAGTATTCAACCCAAATTTATTGATTCGACACAAGGGGAGCCAAAGAATATTCTCAAGTATTAGCAGCTGAGTTGTCAATTCAACCACACCTGGAAACTTAATATCTGCAGCAAAGTGTTTAGTAGCAAAGTAATATGATAGTAGTGGTAAAGATAGCAAAAGTACGGTAGCAAAAGTAATGTTTTTGATATTTTGTAGTGATGATAACAATAGCAACGGAAAAGTAAATAAGCGAAGAACAATATATGAAAAGCTCGTAGGCAATGGATCGGTGATGGAGAATTATGCCGGATGCGGTTCATCATGCAACAGTCATAACCTAGGGTGACACAGAACTAACTCCAGTTCATCAATGCAATATAGGCATGTATTCCGAATATAGTCATACGTGCTTATGGAAAAGAACTTGCATGACATCTTTTGTCCTACCCTCCCGTGGCAGCGGGGTCCTAGCGGAAACTAAGGGATATTAAGGCCTCCTTTTAATAAAGTACCGGACCAAAGCATTAACACATAGTGAATACATGAACTCCTCAAACTACGGTCATCACTGGTAAGTATCCCGATTATTGTCACTTCGAGGTTAACGGATCATAACACATAATAGGTGACTATAGACTTGCAAGATAGGATCAAGAACTCTCATATATTGATGAAAACATAATAGGTTCAGATCTGAAATCATGACACTCGGGCCCTAGTGACAAGCATTAAGCATAGCAAAGTCATAACAATATCAATCTCAGAACATAGTGGATACTAGGGATCAAACCCTAACAAAACTAACTCGATTACATGATAAATCTCATCCAACCCATCACCGTCCAACAAGTCTACGATGGAATTACTCACACACGACGGTGAGCATCATGAAATTGATGATGGAGGAAGGTTGATGATGACGATAGCGACGGATTCACTTCTCTGGAGCCCTGAACGGACTCCAGACCAGCCCTCCCGAGAGAGTTTAGGGCTTGGCGGCGGCTCCGTATCGTAAAACGCGATGAATCCTTCTCCCTCGGTTTTTTATCCCCGAAAGTGAATATATGGAGTCCAGGTTGAGGTCGGTGGAGCGTCAGGTGGCCCATGAGGCAGGGGGCGCGCCCCCCACCCTCGTGGACAGGTGGGGCACCCCTGACGTGGATCTTCCTTCCAATATTCATTATATATTCCAAAATAATTCTCCGTTGATTTTCAGGTCATTTCGAGAACTTTTATTTCTGCACAAAAATAACACCATGGCAATTCTGCTGAAAACAACGTCAGTCCTGGTTAGTTACATTCAAATCATGCAAATTAGAGTCCAAAAGAAGGGCAAAAGTGTTTGGAAAAATAGATACGACGAAGACGTATCAGTCCTACCGGGACGGGCGGCCCGCTGTGGGAAGGAGAGGATAAGGGCCGCCGAGGCCCGTATCGCGACTAATGTGGTGGCGCGGGTGGCCGGAAAGGAGGAAGCCATCTGTGCCCGCATTGTGAAGAAACGGCAACAGGGGAACACACACGCCCTCGCCCGTGAGCAAAATCGGGTTGTCCGTGCCATGGCCGGACTAGCATCGAAGGAGGAGAAGGACGACAACGACGGTGACGAGTAGATCTGTCTCAATCCGTACTGCGTCTTCGACTGGTACTTCCGCGAGAAGGACAGCAAAAGCATCGGGAAGGGCAAGGGCAGCCGTGGATGAACTCCACCATAGCCAAACATGATGAGTTTGTATAGTGAGATATGGTAATTGAGGTGTCTGGATGTGAATTGCATTTTTTAAGAAGTATTCGGTTAGTGTCCACGGACCCTTGAGGGGCCGGATTTGCCAAATCCGTTTGTAGATGCTCTTACTCGCATTCTGAGCTTGTACTCGTCTTTCGTCTTGATGAAACATCGTGGAGTACACTTTTGGGATCGAACGGCTGACGAGCCGAATGATTTTATTTTTGTTGCTGACGCATAACGCCCACCTTAAACATTAGGCATTCCATGCTAAGACGAGTAACAGTAAACCGTACGACTACGCTCGCCAAATCAGGTTGGCTGGAGGCAGGAATGTCAAAAAAAAAGGTTGGCTGGAGGCAGTGCTGCCTATAAATAAGCTTTGTTCCCAATTTTCCTGCTGTGAAACAAACTACTATTCGTCTCCGGACAAGCAGCGAAACCCACGTCCGCTGCAGAAACCAAGAAGCTACGGCATGGACACCGCTAGCACGGCGACGGCGGAGGAGGAGGTCACCCGCTTAGAAGACCTCCCGGAGAGCTGCCTGGCACACGTGCTGGCGCTCACCTCCCCGCGCGATGCCTGTCGCTGCGCCGCCGTGTCCCCTTCCTTCCGCGAGGCCGCCGAGTCCGACGCCGTCTGGGATCGCTTCCTCCCGCCCGACTACCGTGCGGTCCTCCTGCGCTGCTGCTCCGGCCGCCCGCCGCCGCTGTCATCCAAGAAGGACGCCTACCTCCGGCTTTCTGACGGCGCCGTCCTGGTCGACGGCGGCGACACGGCGGTGTGGCTGGCGAGGGGAAGCGGCGCCAAGTGCGTGGCGCTGTCAGCCAGGAAGCTGAGCCTGCCGTGGGACGACGGCGAGTTCAGCTGGAGATGGACGCCTCACCCTCGCTCCAGGTATATCCATCATTTCGGGATCCTTGCTCTTCTTTTCTTTAAGCGGATTCTCCCGATTAAAAGTTCCTGCCGGTTACAGATCGATCATGCACCATGCTGTTATCGGTTACTAGTTGTAGATGTGCCCCACGCCATCTTTCTTGTTGTACTATATCTTATCTTGTCGATTTGGGATCCTGTCCAATCGTGTTTCTTTAAACAACATTTTTCGATCTGTCAGTTGCATCACGCTCATGGTTGGCATACGTAATCCCGACAATCACAACACTTTAAGCCACACATACAGAGGACACCATGATTTCGAGAGATGCGAGCTTTGCAAAACAAATAGCAAGCGCGATCCTATCTGATCGGTGCCGGTCGCTACAGCTCACGTCTTCCAGTCTTGCTAGCGTGCCAGCCAAAGCACAAGGGCACAAGAAGTGAGCATCACCTGACCTGACTCTTCTCCCTTTGATTGCTTCCAAGAGAAGACTTGCCGCTCCGCGAAGCTTCGATTCACCGCCACACAGCAGGCACTCCCTCTTCTTGACCGCGCGGCGGAGACCACAGGCGCCGCGTAGATTCAGCCGTGTCAACGTCGGAAAACAGTTCCGAGGTCCGATGGCGACCTCACCCGGTGCTGTCCGCTCAAGCCACGCCACACACAGCGCATAATTAAACAACTCGGCGTTCAGTGATGTATGCATCTGCGAGATCTGCATGGACCGCGCAAATAAATAATTCTCGAGATCTCCTAATCAATTCTCGCACTGTATGATCTACTGATCTGCCTCATCTCTTGCTGGTCGTGCTGATTTCTCAGGTTCGCGGAGGTGGCGCAGCTGGTGCACTGCACCGGCCTGGACATCTACGGCCGGCTGCCGGCCGCCGCGCTGACGCCGGCGACCGACTACGCCGCGTACTTGGTGTTTGACGTGGCGGACGAAGGCCACCGCGGCCTGAGCTTCCCGGACCAGGAGACCACGGTGGCAGTCGGCGGGCGCGCGGCGTCGCGCCACGCCGTGTGCCTTCGCCCCGACGACGACGAGGCGCGCAAGTTCAGGGGCGTGGCCCGTGCGGACGGCGGCGACGACGGGGTGAGGCGGCCGGCGCTGCGTGACGACCGGTGGTCGGAGATTGAGATGGGACGGCTACGTATCGATGACGCCATGGCCGTGAAGGAGGAGGAGGTGATGGTGAGCTTCGAGGTGTTGGAGTGGTACCCCAAGCGCGGGCTTATTGTCGAGGCCGTCGAATTTAGGCCAGTTTGATTATTATTACTAGAAGAACGCCCGTGCGTTGCAACGGGGCCACATTAACTTTAAGAGTTCAATATTACGACATTGGCGACCTTTTTTACCATCAAATTCTCACACACACAGACACACACTCTCCCTCCGTCTTCCTCACTCTCTATCCCCCTCTCCCTCTCTCTCTAACACACACACATATCCATCTTATTGGGTACGGGACCATAATCCATCTATTTCATACATACACGCTAGTGCATAACAATATGGATTATGTGTATTATATTTGCCACCAGAATTGAGGGAATTAATTTCATGTAAATCGACCAGCCACGGCTCCAAGAATACGCGGACGAGGTGGCTCGGGCCGGCGTCGGCGCCGTCCAGCGCGGGCAACGGGCCCGCTTCCAAGTGCACGTGCAATGCATGTCTTCACAAATATTATAACCAGATGTGAGAAATCACATGCATAGAAAAGACATTCTGATAGCAATCCAAATACCATACTCAATTGAATACCTAACCTGGACAATACTCTTATTTCTATGCGCAAAAAAAATGGAATAGCAAAGCTAAGTATGCCTACATACGCTCAGATTATATATAAGAATCTTGCGTGAACAATTGCAACAAAGCACTAAGCAGCGATAAATTTAAATAAAAAACCCATTAACTATGCAGGCAACAGGCTTGTTACAACATAGAGAGATAGGAAAATGTCACCTCCAGTAATGTAGCGCAAAGGAGTGGAACGAAGTATGAATGAGCGGTTGTCTGTTCTTCTCCATGTACATGGATCAGCAGTAGAGGCCAAGTATATAAGTACTTGACCGAACTCCACACTCCACTCTTCGTGTACGGAGAGCCATGTCACCTTCTCGCCGCTGCAGCATGGGAGGACGGCTGGTTCACGTGACCCTCCAGCTGGGGGATCCATGGTGGCTGACCGTCGAGCTCGAGGCAGAGAAGTTGAGGGCAGTAGTGGCGAGATCCATGCCGGCCAACCGGGCGAAGAGGAGGTCATCGGGGAGGGACACATCGGCAAGATCCGGTCACCACGCGACCTGAAGAGCAACAGTGATCTCCACAAGCTGTAGGCCGACGGCGTGCTCCATCCCCTGCGATGGGGTGACCATGGCGGTGGCCACAGCTCCTCATGCTCGCCTCGATCTTGGCGACACACCCTGAGTGTAGGAGGCAGCAACGACCTCGACGAAATCATGGCCTCCATCCCGGAACGCAATCATGTCGCTCTAAATAAATGGATTCAATCATGTGACTCTAATTACTTCGAATTGTTATGTGCACACTAAGCGGGGTGCAGTTAGGAAAAAAATGTTCTCTAATTAAAGTGATTGAGTGATTTAAGGTAAGGTTAATTAATTTAGATTTGATTTTTAGTGATTGTTAGTAAAGTACGATGCGTCTTTAAAATCTTTTATTTGTTTCCTTAAAATATATTATTTGTTTCCTAAAGAAATTTGCAATAATGGAAGATATCGGTTGATTTGGATAAGTTAGTAAATTTAAATCCGTGATTGCGTGCACGTTTGGAAAGTGCTGATCTCCACAAGCTGTAGGCCGACGGCGTGCTCCATCCCCTGCGATGAGGTGACCATGGCGGTGGCCACAGCTCCTTATGCTCGCCTCGATCTCGGCGACACACCCTGAGTGTAGGAGGCAGCAACGACCTCGACGAAATCATGGCCTCCATCCCGGAACGCCATCATGTCGCTCTAAATAAATGGATTCAATCATGTGACTCTAATTACTTCGGATTGTTATGTGCACACTAAGCGAGGTGCAGTTAGGAAAGAAAATGTTTTCTAATTAAAGTGATTGAGTGATTTAAGGTAAGGTTAATTAATTTAGATTTGATTTTTAGTGATTATTAGTAAAGTATGATGTGTCTTTAAAATCTTTTATTTGTTTCCTTAAAATCTATTATTTGTTTCCTAAAGAAATTTGCAATAATGGAAGGTATCGGTTGATTTGGATAAGTTAGTAAATTTAGATCCGTGATTGCATGCACGTTTGGAAAGTCCTGATTTGCAAGGAAAGAGCTGAGGGGTAAATAAACCGGTGAATAAGAAACCATCATCGAAAAAAATCTACGACGGTTAACCTACGGAAAAAAACCGGACGAAAATGGTGGGATGAAAAAAAATCTGGAAGCGAGACTACCAACTGCTCCATTAGGAGTAGAGATTTTTTGTGTAACGCAGGTACAAGGCGTGCCCGACTTTTAACTTGTGGTAATAATGCTCCAAAACACCGCGAAAGATAACAAAGTCTTACATGAAACAACATAAAAAAGGCTGGACCAAATCCAAAGACTAAGGCCAACTCCAACGCACTTGATTTCGCGCCGTCGCGTCTATTTGGGTCGAAACGGACAGAAAACATGACCCAACACGCCGACGCAAACTGACGAAAAACTATGAAGATGATCATTTTTATAGGCTGGCATGTGTGCCGGCCGCTGGAGCTCTAGCCGGCATAACTATGCCCACTGGCATGAACTACGGCCGTAGGGCCTAAATTTTAGATTCCATTTCCTTTGCAAAAATTTCAAACGGCCAGGCGAAATGCATCTAGCGGTTGGGTGCACGGCCAACACAGATGTAGAAACAGTTGGACGATGCCCCTTTGCCCGACTCAATGAACAGAGTTAGGACAAAACGACGTTCGTTTGGGGTCGTGCGTTGGAGTTGGCCTAAGGGACATCTCTGAAGCAGACCCTTGAATCGTCTGCCAATGTCCGGACCATGTTGTTTAGATGAAGTTTAGCATCCAACCCACCCCACATCGGCCCGTGAATCAGTCCGCTTGTCTATTTTCTCGCAAACCGGAAGTAAACTAGGGGGTTTTGCGGGAGTCGCGGTAGGGAGATGAAGAAAAGGAGAAATCACATGGCGATGCTGCAACCTGCAAAGGCGGGTGCGTATGACAAGTCGGCCGTTCGTTGACTTAGGCCTTCTCTGGTTTACCGAAATTTTGTAACGATTTTGAAGGGTAGGAATTTTGTAGATTTTTTTTCTCTGGAGGCCTTTGGTTTGTAGAGATGGATTCATAGAAATCATACTTCACATTTCAAAGGAAAAAACATTAGTCTAGACTTACTTTTTAATCCTATGCTTCAAATGATATCCTTTTGCATGTACGAATTGAGATATATGTCATCTCATTTTCTGTGCCTTTTCTATTCCTACAATATTGTTGTCTATGAATCAAGGAGCCTAGGGTTACTACCGCACACGATAGGATTGAGACCTGGCCAGATGGGCCGTCCCGACCAATCTAAATGGACCAAGCATGGTCCGGCACTCGTGCCACACTCCCTGGCCCAGGCACGACACAACAAGGAAACAGGCCGGCCCATCGGCACATTTAGCCAACGAATACGCCTAACTTTGGGTTGTTTTGGGTCTATTTAAGGGTGTTTTCTATTTGACGCTCGCGAGCGTCGAGGTGTTACGCTTTCGCTGAAGTGCTCGAGAGAGCACCACGAAACGGGCCGGCCCAATTCCAGTGTCAAAGCAGACAAACTGGTTTTGGGAACCTTCTAGAAGGCTCCCTCAACCGATATTTTTTCTGGTTTTTCCCTTTTTGCTGGTTTTCTGGTTTTATTTTTTCTTTTCTTTTTCTTTTTCTTTGTGTTTCTGTTTCTGCTTCTATTTCTTTCTTTTTTTCCCTTTCCTTTTTCATTTTTATTTTATCCTTTGTTTTCAAAAACGTTTTTTTTGTTTATGATTTCGAAAATTGTTCACAGTTTCAAATTTGGTTCATGTTTTAAAAATTTGTTCATAATTCAAAAAATTGTTCATCGTATATCACAAAATTATTCAACATTTGTTAACATTTTGTTTAGCGTATATCACAAAATGTTCAATGTGTATTTAAAATTTGTTCACGTATATTGCACAAAATGTTCAATGTATATTTAAAAGTTGTTCATTGTATATCACAAAAAAAAGTTCAATGTGTTTTAAATATTGTTCGGTGTTTATCACAAAAATGTTCAATGTGTAGTTAAAAGTTGTTCAGTGTATATTACAAAAAGTTCAATATATAGCTAAAATTTGTTCATCCTACATAAAAGAATCAATAAATGTTTGGAATTTCATAATTGTACTCATGTTTTAATAATTGTTCCCGTTTTTAAGAAAATACGTTTTAAAATTTTGTTCTACTTTTGAAATTTGTTCAAGAAAACATTTTTCATTTTTTTGAAGGACAAATTAAAAACGGATGTGCCGGTGCACATAGCACTTTAAGGGTGGCGCCATAATTTAAGACATGCACAGTCCTTAGATGCAGTGGTTTTTTTTGCGGGCAACTCAGAGAGCTTTATTAAGCAAGAGCATTCCTTGGACAGTCTGCCAACAGGCTGGTCACAAGGAAGCTAGGGGTCTCATCGAGCCAACTCCGAGTCACATTCAGAGTGCATGCATGTTTTGCACAAAGATGCGCTGATAAGTTAGCCGGCCTGCTTACATGTTGTATAACAAAAGAAGTGAATAAAGAACTAAACTCTCCTAATTCTAACAAAATCGAAGCCACAATAGAACGAGAATTGTGGCGAGCTTCCCAGAGCTTCACCAGCTCCAGACAGTCAACCTCCATCATCACATGCTGGAAGCCACGTAGAGTAGCAAATCGGACTCCTTCCCGCAGTGAAAACGCCTCAATGATCAGTGGGTCAGACACCCCAATGAAAGGTTTACACCAGGCTCCTAAGAACGTGGAGGGCGAGCGGGCTACCCCACCAGCGCCACCCCGTCCATCTGTGAAATTGAGCGCACCATCTGTATTGATCTTGATGAAGCCCACATCAGGTGGTGCCAACCAAAGTCCGGCAAGGTAGCAGCCGCCTTTCGGGGCAGTTGAAGGAGAGCAATCGCCTCCTTGGTAGATCGGATAGTTGCAGTAGGATCTCGCCCTACCTCTCCATGTTTGATCCGATTCCTAGAATGCCAAATAGACCACATAATGGTTGTAATGTTTGCACGATCATCATC